CACAGCTTTTCCTTCCTTGGACCACTTCTGATAAGTACTGACCTCTACAGAACGTCTTGGAGAGTCTGACCTAATCGTCTAGACGTCACAATTTGGCCCTTGTCAAAGTCGCTCAGATCCTTACACTGCCAATTTTTCCTGCTTTTAGCACATCAACTATGAGGACACAATGTTCACCTGCTGCCTGATTTATCCCACCCACTGACAGGTCATAGTAACAAGATAATCAGTGTTATTCATATCACCTGTGAGTGGTCATACTGTTATGGCTGATCTGTGAAGATTTGAACCTGTTTTTGGGCTGAGGTGCACTTTATAACCAAATAAATGGCCCTCTGCAGGAGTGAGAGGAAACTGAAATGATGATCAAACTGCAAAGTTGTTGTGGAAGCTGGCTGTTTATTTCAATCAGCCACTGCAACACATTGAAAATGATACAACTAGCAAAGTGTGACAGAGCTGGGCTTCTGTTTGATTTCAGTGTGTGTAAATATAGACTTTACATGCTGTGAAATAATTAGCTTCAGGTGAAAATAAAGCTTACATTTTACTTAAATCTTTTGCCACATGCTGCTGCTAATGTAAACCAAAATTGGAGTTGAAGGTAAATGTATCCACTTCCCATCATCCACCACAGGCCCTCATTCTACACTGGACTAAAATGCTGGCGTGGACGGAGATCATATTCATTTTAAAATGCACAGTGGTTGCGGGCCTTAGATTCCTCAGGTCTGTTGGCTCTGAGGGGGATTAGCTTAGGTTTAAGATTTATAAATGTCTGTTATGCAAACAACAGGACAATCTTATCAACAACAGTTTACTGGACCATCATGTTTAATACTTCTGTCCAGGTTTTTCATAGAGGACGGTGTGTCGGTCATGCAGGTGCTTTGCTCTTTCGTTAGTAGCGTCACTTTCATATGAGCTTGCTTGTATGCTTTGCCAGCATCCAATCACAAGTGACGAGTACTAGTCAATCACAACACAGTAGGGCGGGACTTGTCAAGAGAAAAAAGCACAATTCAAACTAAGCAAATGAGAGGAGCAGCATATATAATGTGACTGTTAATATAGATTTTTTTTAAAAATTCTCTTGCATACACAGAGACTACGATCCCAATACTCAGTGTTTTGGATAAAAAAAAGCTCTCATCAGTTTGTTTTGTTGGACAAATTAACATCTACATGAAGAAAAAAATAAGGAGAATATGTGTTGCACTGATATCCGTAGAGTTTGTACGCAGCGAGTTGTACTTAGAGGTCACATAGGTCAAATACAAAAACAGAGTTTGATCTCAAATCACCAGAGCAGGAAGTGATTGTTTGTTCTCACAGCAGCAGTGAAAGCCTTTGGTTTGTCTCTGAAAGTATAAATAGACTGTATATATATAAATAGACGGGATTAGTGAAAATTCTGAGTATGTTAAACCTGAGATGAGGGAAACTCTGTGGTGCCTGGTATGCCTGCAAGACAGCCATCGTGTGCAGGTGTGCGACATCCCCAGGCATGAGACGCACATCCCATGGGTATCACCTTCCGTGATGAAGCGCTGACAGGGAAAGACACACTGTCGGAATCGCTTCGACATGATCTGCTTCGTCTCGACTTCAGGTAGGATGCTGGAGCTTCCAAACATAGCCAGAGTGCCTGCTGAATAGAAAGAAGCTAATGTGTCCTGTGTGCCGACGTGCTTATATACCCCTCCGGTTACGCCATCACACACTACCGTTCTAGGAACACCAATAGGATTGGAGTAGATTCATTCATAGTTCAGCCCTGCCACACCCAGAGGCGTTCCCATAGTGTCGTCACAGACGCAGTTTGAGTTCCCTCGAAGGGGAACTCCTGTGTTCACAGGATAAATTGAAAAACCCTCAGTTTCTCTCTAACTCCTCCCCTCCTGTGGAGCCTGAGGTGGCTGTCTGAATGTTTTATTTCCTCAATCATTCTGTTGATATCAAAGCGCATATCTGAACGCATTTACATCTTCCAAAAAAACTTAAAAATCCCGGTTAGATAGGCTATTAGTTTTTTACCCAAACATAATCTTGAACATGATCGCTTTTATGATCAATCTGTCATCGATGTAAGGACAGATCCTCAGCACAGAATAAAATCTATGTCCATCTTTAGGTATAACGCTGCAACTCTGTGGACAGTTGCACTGAAAACACTTACTGTGGATAACATTAATAAAATACGAAGTGAGCAAGATTTTATTAATGTAAAATAGACGACTAAAACTTTAACCTATAGACGCACTTTCCACTGCAAAAAATAATTAGGCTAATAGGCTAACCTGCTGGGTGTGACTGTGACTTTACAATCAAAGGTTCATGAGTAAACTGCGTCTCATATTTGATCTATAGCCTACCTATTTTCTTAATCAGGTAGCTGATTGCCACCAGCATTTAGTTCAGTTAGTTAGTTCGGGTTACAGCTTAATAAACAGCCTTCTTATTTAAAATCGAATGTAATGGGCTGTAGCACTTTATACGCTGTATAGTAATAATGTTAACGCATTGATTCTTCTTCCACTCCTGCGTATTAGAGCCAATCATGGTCCGCGTTGGCACGCATTCATATTTCTAGCTTCCCACGATTAAAATGGAGGATCTGCCTTTATTTACCCGTTGCCATGGTGAATCATAGTATCGGAGCTCCATTGATGATGGCTTTTTTTCATCCTTATGCACGCGCGTCCATCAGCCTCAACATACTCAGAGTTGATTGAACTTATTCTGATCAGCTGTGCTCAGGGATAAGCTCAGAGTTTGTTAAGCCTGCTTTCTGAAACAGGGCCCTGTAGTTCTCTAGCCCTTCCCCCTCCTGCCTTGCAGCTCCAATTGGTGATTGGCAGCAGCTGCCCCTGATTTCCCAATCAGTACCTGGAGGATAAGAGAACAAGGAGAGAGCAGCAATGGGACTCTGTGGCTGGTCTTGTGGTGCCAGTCTGTGTGGCTGCTGACCAGTGGGTCAGATGGCAACTTGGCGGGTGAGTGCGTGGACTGAACGTCTTCTGGAGGCGATGTCATGGCAGCATATGTTAGAATTCCTGTATAAATATATGCTGATGGCCTACAGTTAATTATAAAATGAATCATTAAAGCATTAGAGCTGTTTCATGCTTATTCAGTTTCCATTATTAACTGTAGGGTATTTGTTATAGGCTATTGCCTTTATTTGGTTATTTTATTGGCAACAATTTATTTTAAATGCATATTTCTGCATAATGATTTGGATTATTTTGATCATGCTAATGCGTTACTAATCAATGCAATCCTAAAGGAGTTATAACATACTATGTTTGCACATTGTTGTTGTACAAGACGGCAAACAGTGAAGCTCTTCATTTTCCATCGGGATGCTACACTACTGGAAAAATATGTAATTAAATCACTTATGAAAATGTTTGATTACATCTGAATGTTTTCTGTAAAAAGCTCAGCTATATGTGAATAATCATTTTGTTGCTTTGCGTGTTTTTTTATGTGGAGATGTCTTCCATTTCCAGCTACAGTTGTTTCGTAAAGTTTGATGCTGTTGTGATGCTTTTGATTGTTGTCATGTTTTAATTTGCAGCGCCACCCCTTTGCCTTGCACTGTCATTTTAAAATGGTTAACATTTGAAAACAAAACATTTATGGTAACATCAAATATGGGGAAAATATATATTATCCCAGTTAACAATTGAAGAATGGAAGGCTTGAACTTGAAGTTCAAGTTGTCTATTATATCTATAATGCAAAAATGTAGCATCATGTCATGGCCTACTGGCTAGTCAATTAAGTTCCAAATATTACCAGTTATATTTTTGAAGTTTTAGCCATAGTCTATTAACAAATACATGTAAAAACACACTCAGTGTAATATTTAAATAGGTAAACCCCACAATTAATTTGAGTTTTTGCAGCCTAATAAAAGACAAGTTTCTGGAAAGAAACGCTATTGCAGATTCCATCCACTAGAAGGAGCCATCGCCTTTGTAATGTGCAACAAATACACTAGAATATAAGCAGAAGTTTTGAACTAACTTGAAGTGCTGTAGTTAGTTTTTTCTGATTGCTTAAGCACATTTTTTGTAACTATTGGCTATTTTTGCAAAACTCTACACACAAATAAGAAAACCTTTCACCCAATTATCAAAACATTGTAGTTCTCTTGCAAAAGCGAACACAGTTAGATTAACTCTTCACACCTTAGTAAAAATGGTGTTTTCGTATCAAACAGTAAACACAAGCCATCATCTACTAAGCACACAATGTGCCAACTACACACTGATGGTATGAATACAAAACACATCTGGCGTTTGCTTTCTCTGTGCACAGATGTCAATTGAGGTCATACTTTTGTCATAGTGTCATGTAAACATACAAGGATCCAAACTTCATGTATTTGTTACGGGGTGTGGTGTGTGGACAGAGAGGACCCAAATGCTGCACTCAGGAGGTTTATTGAGGGACGTACAGGCACGGGGAACCAAGGAGACAGGGGGCCAGGGAGCCGGGGAACACAGGGGCCGAGGAAGCGAGGAGAGGTGGGGGGAACAGGGAGGACGCCGTGAGGGGAGTCCGGAGAGGAGTGGGCCAGTGGACGAGCCCAGCCGAACGGAGGACGAGGGTGAGTGTACCTGGGAGGGAGACAGAGAGACAAGGTTAGGGAAGACAACGACAAGGCACAGGGTAAGTGTGAAAAAACAAGAAACATGGAAGCTTGAACACGGAAGTGGCACCAGGTATGGAGCAACGACGATCAAACGAGGATGGTGTGGAGAACCGGGGTTGAAATACAGGCTGGGATGAGGTTGATTACTGGCAGGTGTGGCAGGATGACGAGGTGGATGATGAGTTGCAGGTGCAGGTAGTTGGCTGGGCTCAGGAGCAGAGGGAGAGAGAGCACACGGGGGAGAAAACACAGAGAGGCGGGCAGAGAACAGGAAACCAAGGAAAAAAGCAGAAAAACTGATAAAAAGTAGAAAAAACCAGGACACTCACCGTCAGCCGGGCTGCCACCACAACAGTATTGGTGTTTATTCACACTCATCAAAACCAAGACAAAGTCAGAACACTAAATTGTAATTTCACAAAAGAAAATTGCTATATATGCGATATCCTCCAGTCCAAGGCACCGGGGAAAATATCTCCTTGAATGCCGTATCCAGGCCTGACATGATACCTGGTCAGTATCTCCACATGCCTCCTCCATTGCCTGTAAAAGGGCTACCTGTTGATGAGGATGACGGTCGTACACTTTCCAGCGCCAGGCAGAGAAGAACTCCTCGATGGGATTTAAGAATGGAGAGTATGGAGGGAGGTTGAGTGCCATGAAGAATGGGTGGTCTGTAAACCAGTTGCGGACCAAAGCAGCCCTATGGAAACTAACATTGTCCCATATGATGACATATCAGGCCCATGCGTAGCACTACAGTATGCACTTCCAAATTCAGAACCAATGACACTATAGCTTACCTGCACATAGTCATATCGCAGCTGCTTTACACGTTCTGTGTTTCTCTCGAAAGGAACTAAATTTGCTTCATTCTTATTCTGTGGCGCGCAAGTACACGACTTAGTGCAGAAATGCTTACACTGTGTATAGTTGAAAGATGGTGTCATTATCAATTATGTGCTGCTGTATTTCGCGCAGTCTTATTGCATTATTGGCAATCACCATGTTCACTATATGGGTCTCTTGCTCTGGAGTGAACATTCTTCCTCTGCCCCCAACATGTGGACATCTAGCAATTCTGTAAAGTAACAATTTCAGTATTTTTGCATGTATGGTACTGTTGTGTTTCTCATTAGAGTATGGCAGTGCTACAAAGTACTTACCGATTCTCATTTCGAAATGTCCTAATGATGCTTGCCACAGTGTAGCGGCTCAAATTAGGCTGAACCCGTTGGCCAGCTTCCCTCAGGGTCATCCCATGGTTGATGACATGGTCCACTATTGTAGCTCTGATGTCATCAGTTATTCTATTTCTTACTCTTCTTACCCTTCCTCTTTCCCCTCCTCGTCCTCTTCTTGCTCCTCCTTGTCCTCTTCCTCTAACTTCCTCTAACCCTCTCGCTTCTTCAACTCCACGTCCTCTTCCTCTTCCTCCAGCTTCTTCAACTCCACGTCCTCTTCCTCCAACTTCTTCACCTCCACGTCCTCTTCCTCCAACTTCTTCACCTCCACGTCCTCTGATTCTCACTCTTCTCACTCTTACTGCTCCTTCCATTGTACTCCACACAGACAGCTTACCTGTGGCTTATTTATAGTGCTTAGGCTGATTGCAAAGTGAACTAATTATCTAAAACAGTTTTCACATGTGAAAGTGTGCCAGACAGTTGGCAAAATAGTGTTAATAATAGCAGTGAGTTGTGTTTAAAGTTCTGCAAAAAGAGTGTTGTGCAGTGAATTGCGCCTACAGTTTTGCAAAGTGTGTGTTACAAAATTGTAAACTGAGTGCAAAGCAGTGTTTGTGCTTTTAGTTTTGCAAACTCAGTGAGTGGTTTTGCTATACATATTAATAGTTTCAGAAATTGTGCTACAAGAATCACGATTAGCGCTTAAGCATTCAGAAAAAACTGTAAATGGCACAAACTTTTAATTTGCAGATTATATTGACTATTAACTGAACAAAACCTAATACAACCTTGTTCATAACATTTTGACAGCGTAGGAATTTGTTGTGAATTTTACAGGCTTGTCTTGTCAGAATAGGCCTTGTGCTGCGTGTTTAATCATCATCATGTGGGCATGGCGGTATGTTTGGTTTGTGAGATTGAGTGTGATGTAGTTTTAGTGTATAAACAAGTTCAAAGCAGACCAACGGAAACAGTGATAGCTGCCATTAACTTGGCAAGTTATCTCTACACTTTCCTTGAAGCATCTAGTTTCAGAGACCTTGAACTTTGGCTGAACAATTGCTGCAACTGATGTTCATGAAGTTTTTGTATATGCAAATGTATACTTATTTGTCTATGCTATTGCAAAGGTATTAGCAACATTTTTGAGGTTGTACATAATGATGTGTCCACCAGGGCAAAAGCAACATCCACAATTTCTTTTGCCAGCAACTCTCGCTTGCTTCCAACTTCCTCTGAAGGCCAATGTTCACTCCTTTTGTAGCCTGATGAGCCTTTTGTAGAAATTTGATGATTATTTTACTTTATAGGAGAGAGGTTAAAATTAGATACAACAGTTTTGCCTCATGGACTTCATTGAACACTGGTCAAACTCATTCAAAGATCCTTTTTATTTCACAACCGTAAACGTTTTGTGATTTGGAGGGGAAATATATTGAACATATTTTTCACGCTTCCTTTTGGTTTGAATTACAAAGGACATCATACTAACAAAGCTAAAGTACTGTAAAGTACAAACGTTCTTTTCATTTCAGAAGCTACAGATATGAGAAATGTTCAGTTTAATCAGATTGGAATAAAAACTCCATGTGTAAAGGCTCAAAATGAAACTTCAAAATACATTTGATTTACATCCATTTACAACAGGTATTTTTTTTTTTTTTTTTAATGTTACCAAGTAGTCACTCATCAAGCCAAACAAGGAGTGCGAGAAAGAAAAAGTATTTCCTTACTTCTTACTTACTATTTTTTTTACATGCAAGACGAAGTAAACATGAGAAATGTTTACTTACTAAGTTTTCAAAGCAGATAAATATATACAGCAATACAGACAGCCAATAATGAGCTGAGATGACAAAGCAAAAAAAATACAAATTCAGAGTGGGCATATGAATATTGTATAATATATATAGCAATGTCCTGAAAAGATGGAAGTTTATTATTAGGTACACTGAGATAAAATTAATGCAGTTTAACAACAGTCCTGTAATAATTATTGTTTTAGAGAAGTGTCTAATATTTAATCTACCTGTCCTTCATTACTATAATTGAGGTATAAATGAAATACTTTTGCCTTAATTCTGCATTCTTGGCCCAGTCTGTCCTGAGGAAAAATGAAATGGGGCCACCTGCTGAGTAAAGGAACATAGAAAGTCCATGCATAAATACAGACCACAGATCCATGTTGTCATCACACTCAGTGCGTCTACAAACTCTGCTGTAGAGTGTAGATACATCCTCCACAGATGCTTGACGCCTTGTTCTGTGAAGGAATCAATAATTAAAGGATTTTAAAGAAAAATTGTAAAATACTTACAACATGAACCTAAAACCTAAAAACATGAAAAAGGACAAATGCAAAAGAAAAAAATGAGGACTATATGACACTTTCAAACTTAATGTGTTTTTTTTTAAAATTTTTATTGAAGAGCAACAAAGATTCTCCTGTGTGAAGAGCTGCTCACCCTGCGGCGCTGTTGAAGTTAATGGCTCCAAATCCCTCATCTTCATTTCTGAGGGGCTAAGCTGGGCTGTATTTGGAGTAGAGAGCCTTTTCCTGGTTCTTAGCCAATCGTATAGTTGTATCCCGAGTCTCCAGCCACATAGACAAACAAAAGTGTAACTTCTAGATCCTAGTTATACTTACTGTGATCCTGAGGCTTGATATCAGTCTGGTTTTGGGTTGCAATACTTACTGCTTACCAGCAGAGCTCAATAGTAATGATAATTTACTTAACACCATTATTATTTACAAGATGTTGTACACAGAGCCCCCCCTGTGTTCAGTTAAGTTGTGAACCCTGTGCCAGAAGTATGGCTGGATAAACACTGCTTAATTCATTAGTAAAAGTTTTTCCAAGTCTGTCTTAAAACAGTCTTATGTTTTTATACGTGCCACATTTACACTAAAACAGGTTTTGCTTTCTGAAATGATTCCATCTGAGCAGCCATTAAAAATTCAATTTGATGTGCTTTCAATCTAAGTGATCTGGACAAAATCTGCAGTCCTTATGCTAAATGTATTCAGAGGTTTATCTGAAGCTAATATGAGAGCAAAATTCATACTGAGATTGTAGCGGAGGTTTACCAAAATATCTAAAACAGATTGGGCGGCAGACAAGAGAATAACCTTAATCCTAACCTGTCACTTAAAAACGTTCAGTTAGTAGGATATTAGATAGCCAGATCGCTAGCTACCCTTGCTACAAACATACTTATACCAATAAGAGAAACACCAAACACTAATTCAATTACTCCAAATAAAGCTTATATTCAAATCAAACAATAATCCACCATTTGGTTAGTACTCAAACACAAAATCTTTTCATTTTCCATTAAAGCAACAAAGAACCATTAAAAATATAACATTCATACACAAAATTAAATGCCCACAATTCATATACTAAAGAAACAGACTTCAGATAATCCTCCACCTTGATGAGGCAACACAGTCTCACTCCCTACTCGTCAAATGTCTGACGCATGGTCAAGGCCCTTTGTCGTCGCTTTTTAAAGACTTGGGTAGCCCTTTTGCATCAATTATTGACGTTTAGGGATCCACAGTCAAGTTAGCAACGCTTAGCAACAATAAATATGCAATATCCGGTTACACTTTCAAGATAAAACGTAACGTTTCGATACATTGCCATAATTAAAGTCGTGAAACGTTGCAGTTTCGTTAGGTTTAGGCACAGAAAGTACTTGGTTGGGTTTAGGCAACAAAACTACTTGGTTAAGGTTAGGAAAAGATCATGGTTTGGGTTAAAATAGCTATGTATGTCAATTAAGACTTAAGTTAACTAACGTTAATGTCAATTTACCTCACTTGCCTAAATAAAAACATTTAATGTTTTGTTTCGCACGGGACACAAACCCTGTTCTCCTGCTTCAAGGTCCGGGTTCTGGCCCTCTATCCACCCCAATCACCTCCTTACTTCGTCTTTTCTCTTAAATATCATACTTGCCTTTACCATCAAAAACTGACACAACAGGGCTTCCCTCAATACGTCAAACTATGACGTCAAAGGGATCCCTAGTGCGTCACAAACTGACGATTATGGCTCTTGACCAAGCGTCCATATGTGACGACTTGGGAGTGAGACCGGGTTGGATGAGGAGGTGTGTTCAGGGGGAATCAGGCTGTTAAGTCCATTCAACTCAAAAGGTAGCAGTTCAGACTAGTTCAACTGAGTTCTGTTGTAAGAGGTATGAGTGTGTAGATGTGTGTGGGTGTAGTTCAGTTACATGAAGGGCAGAAGGTAAAGCCCTGCCTAAAGCTGGGGCAGGAGGATAGAGTAGCCTGGAGTTAGACTTAGGTAGACCTAAGGCTCGTGCAAACTACACGACTTTCAGCGTCGGCCGATGGCCGTGCCGTTCACACTACACAACTTGCCGTCTGGTGATGGGAGTCTTGAAGTTGTTGTGGTGTTCACACTACGGGACTGATCAGTGACAGGGGGTCACACACTACACGAGCTGACAACGATGCTGGTCTCCAAACCATGTTTTGTCAAGAAAGCACATGTGAAATGTGAAAAGGGAAATTTCGCAAATCTGAGCACAAAACAGCGGTTGTTTGTTATTATAAAGATAGCAATTATTAGTGTTGTAGTACTCGAGACCGGTCTTGTCTCGGTCTAGGACATTGAGGACTCGGGATTTTCTTTCAAGACCAGTCAAGGTCATAACTTTGGGAATATCAATAAATTACTTGTGCGTTGTCTGATTTATTTGTTAACATCTAACTAACTTTGATTGGATGTAAAATGTATTGCTTCAAATTCAACCAATAACCCTGATTAAAAATGTGTTGTTCCCGTTAACGACAGTCCCTCCTCCCTGCGATGGTAAGCAAAAGAAAAGGAGAGTTGAATAAAGATGCTTACGTTGATTTCAGCTCTTAGTATTTGTATGTGGGTGTTTTTATGGGAATGTGGATCTTTCAGATCAGTTTGAGAAGTACTTATGATCTCGTTGCACATTTTATTGTGTGTCATGTAATGTGGGGAACTGGTCTTGGTCTTGACTCGGTCTCAGCCCCTAAAAGTCTTGTTCTTGTCTCAGTCTCGATAAACTCTGGTCTTGGTCTTGATTTGGTCTCGGTTTGGGCGGTAGCAATTATAAAGACAAAGAATCTGGGTGAAAGAATGGATTAGCAGAGGAAGGTAGAAGGGATTGTCTGACCTACAGAGAGAGCTGGAGGGGAGTAAAAA